TTTGTAAATACCAGCGCTGTGTTCAGGGTCTACTTTGTAAATACCAGTGCTGTGTTCAGGGTCCGCTTTGTAAATACCAGCGCTGTGTTCAGGGTCTGCTTTGTAAATACCAGCGCTGTGTTCAGGGTCTACTTTGTAAATACCAGCGCTGTGTTCAGGGTCTACTTTGTAAATATCAGCACTGTGTTCAGGGTCTACTTTGTAAATACCAGCGCTGTGTTCAGGGTCTGCTTTGTAAATACCAGTACTGCTTTCAGGGTTCCTGCTGAAACGGTGCTGTGTTCAGGGTCTACTTTGTAAATACCAGCGCTGTGTTCAGGGTCTACTTTGTAAATACCAGCGCTGTGTCCAGGGTCTACTTAGTAAATACCAGCGCTGTGTTCAGGGTCTACTTAGTAAATACCAGCGCTGTGTTCAGGGTCTACTTTGTAAATACCAGCGCTGTGTCCAGGGTCCGCTTTGTAAACACCAGTGTTGCCTTCAGGGATTGCCCTAAAATTATTTTAGCCAATCAGATCAACACGTTGACCTTTACCAACCGTTCTGACTGGTCAGTGATTGTGTAAACAGGAAGCTGTGTAAACAGGAAGTACATTAAACAGGAAGTTCTATAAAGAAACAAATATCTGAGGCTTTTATTTAGTAAATAAATATTTTCTTAATAAATCTGATAATAAAAGCTTTGCCTCTGTCCCAGTCTGAGATTAATCAGGAGTTAAACTGGGCCACAGAACCAACACAGAACTTGAGGTCCACACTGGTCGGAGGCAGAGAGGCTTCTGGGGGATCTTGAAGAGGAGGGCAGGTCATGATGAAGCAGCTTGTTGCTTATTTGACAGCAGCAGAACAAGCATTGGATCCCGGTTCTGTCATTTGTTAAACAGAACCTTTTATGGAATCTGAGGCCCAGTAATGGTTCTGTCTACTGATGATTACTGTGAAAATAAAAACATTTCTGGTGGAACTGTTTTTCTGCAGTTTGTCACATAACAGATTAAACACATCAGGCAGGAAGGTGGACTGAGCAGAACCTCATGTCCGACCCGTGTTCTTTCACGGTCTTCATCCTGGTTCAGTCATGTGGGAGAGACGGGGGCTCTGATTGGCTGAGGGAAAAGACGAACAAACGTTCGCTTTTGACAGAGGACGAGAAAAACAGGAAGTGGAAGAAAACCAGGAAGAGAACAGAAACAGGAAGTGGGAAGACGAACAAAAAACAGGAAGGGGAAGTGAACAGCGATTTGATGTTTTTATTATTTATTTCTGAAAGTTAAATCATCTTTGACAGTCTGGTCCTTTAGATTTGAAAAAAGCTCAAAGGTCTGAACGGACTGAGCTTCGAGGTCGTTCCTCCTCCAGGTGACCTCACCTCGCAGCAGGTCACCTGAGCAGCTGAGCTCCGATGGCCGACTCGCCGCTGCTCTCGGTGTCACTGTGAGGGGCGTTTATGTTCGGGGTGGGCGTGGTCAATCAACAAAGGGCGGGGCCTCACAGGTAACCTTCCTTCTTGAACTGTTCCTGCAGGATGTCCCGGTACTCGTCAAAGCCGCCGTCCACGCGATGAACTTTCCCAATTTCACACACCCACAGCTCCTTACACACCAACCGGATCAGACGCTCGTCGTGCGATACCAGGATGACTCCGCCCTGGAACGAGTGACATCATACAGGTGAGGGACACACCTGAGGGACAGGAAGAGGTAGGCAGGAACAAACACACCTACTTTGAACTTGTTGAGAGCTTTCGCCAGAGCCTCGATGGTCTCCATGTCCAGGTGGTTGGTCGGTTCGTCCAGGATGTAGAAGTTTGGACTGAAAGAAACAAACATCATCATCATCTTCATCCTCCTCAGGAACAGGTGACCCTGCATCCTTCGTTACCATGGCATCGTCATCTGAGCGAAGGCGACCCGACTCTTTTGTCCTCCTGACAGACTGGCCACCGGCCTCGTGGAGAGCTCTCCGGAGATGCCGTAACCCCCCAGCTGGTGGCGATACTCCTCCTCCGTCCGACCTGCGGCGTAAACACGACAGCCAATCAGATCAGAGCGTGAAGCTGCTCGTCGCGTTGTTGTCGCCATGGTTACCAGGAAACTTGTTGAGCAGCAGCTCCACAGCGCAGACGTTCAGGTCCAGCTGGTCCACGTGGTGCTGACTGAAGTAGCCAATCTTCAAGTTCCTGATGAGGAAAGATGATGAGACGTTCACCAACATTCCACAGAAACCACCAGAAACTGTTTCATCAAAGTTCATCATAATAATAAAGTTTCTGTCAGCAGGTACATGTTGACCAAACCGGTCCCTGCAGGTCGACCCGGGACCTGTTCCCTGAAAACTAAACATCCAGTGGTCTGTGCCCTGAAGAACAGCTCGTCATAAAACAGATGGGAATGGTCCTACAGGCTCAAGAATCCGTCCAGAGGACCTGACTTAACTAGGCCTGTGACGATAACAAGTTTCGCTGGACGATTAATTGTCTCAAAAATTATTGCGATAAACGATAATATTGTTTGAAATTTGACAATAATTAGTAATTATTGTCAAATTTAAGAATAAATGTTTGTTAATTTTTGTATGTAATACCTGTTTTCGACCACCGGATGTCAGTATAAGATTGTTTGAACCGAAGGATGGATAGTGAGGGAGCGAGCAGAGTGTCTAAGAAAAACGGGAGGGAGGCTCCTTGACGTGACAAGGGCTGTCTCTCTACGGTTCTCAAAATGGCAGACGCTCGGTGTGGTTTGAGCTCTTTAGCATTTTTCACGCAAAGCTTTTAATAAAATAAAAAATCAGTAAACAAGTTCTCAGCTTCTTGTTGCAGAGAAAAACAACTTTTAGACGAAGGCACGAGTTTCAACTGTGAATTTTTGTGAATTATTTAATTCCTGAGGTCGGCCTGTTAGCTTAGCTCGTAGCTTAGCTTCTCAGCTTAGCTGCTTTTAATGATCCAAAAGATGAATTTAGATGTTTAAAATGTATTTTAAAGAGAAAAGAGAAAGGGCGGGGTCAGTGAAGAGCACCAGAGTTGAGCCTTTTCTCATCCAGTGTCTTCAGTAGAAAGAGACATGAAGAAATGATAAAGCTGATAAATGAAAATGAAGTCAATAATTTTCATTTATCATGAGATTATTTGATGTATTGTTTATCGTGACAGGCCTAGACTTAACTTTGTTAGAACTTCCTAAACACAACAAAATAAATGTTCCCTGATCAAACTAAACAGTCAGTTCTGTAAAAATCTTCCTTGAACTTAAAACATTTATAAATGTTCCCTGAATAAATACGATTCAAAACATTTAAAAGATGTTCTACCACAAGGAAACTCCCTGAAACAATCAAAAGTTCTGTTTAAACACTGAAATGGAACAACGAGGGTTCCTTCATGACAAAAAGGTTCCAGTAAACCCAAAAGAAGCTCCAGTTCCCCAACAAAAACATAAATGTTCCTTAAAAGCAGAACAGGAAAAGTTGGCAGTGAGGACACAAACTGTCGTACAGGCCACGCCCAGCTAATCTCTGTGCTCTGATTGGTGGGTCTGATCGGTCACCTGTGCGCCTGTCGCAGTCCGTTGACCGGTGTCAGCTCCCCCATCAGCAGCTTCAGGATGGTGGTTTTACCGGCGCCGTTTTCACCGACCTGTCGTGAAACAATAAGCTGAGCTGCGATCGATGTGATTGGTTAACAACTGTCCGCTGGCGGTCTAATCTAGCGAAGGCACGTACGATGCAGATGCGAGACTCCAGGTCAGCTGACAGGTTGAGTCCGGTGAAGAGAGGCTGGTCGGGCGAGTAGCAGAACTCGACTTCATCCAGCTGCAGGATGGGAGGAGACAGCTTCTCAAAGTTATCAGGAAACCTGCAGCAACACATCAACAACCGATCAGTGCTGACGGTGACACGGTCTGACTGATCCACTCTGAAGGGCGGGGCTGGGGGGACAGATCCGGTCCCATCTGGACAGACATGAACAGTCTTACCTTAAAGTGACTTCTGATTCTTTCTGGATGGGCTTCAGCTCTGGTCTGCAGGAGACGAACAGAATCAGAACCAACAAAAGTCGCTACACTTCCAGGACAGACACACACAAAACTATAGACAAAATGTCCTGACGCTCAATAATCAGGAAGATGAATTTAACCAGGTGGAGTCAGGTCCTCTGGAGGGATTATTTAGTCTGAGTAGCTGAAACAAACTCAGTCTTATGAACCTTCTCATAGTGGATCAACCAGTTTGTTGTTGGCATCAAGAACTAGCTGTTCACATGCTGGAGGACCATCAGCCTAACAAAGGCAACTTTGTGGTTGTGCCACGAAGAATTCCTCTGGTGGAGATGATCACAGCTACTGAGTCAGACATCCACAACAACAAAATTAAAGAGTGTGAGGCAGAACAACTCGGAGTCAAAGATCCAACCTCAGCAATGCCAAACCACCACCTTCTAACATCAGTAGAGAGGAGAGGGACGCACTCACCACTCTCATCAAGGACAAGAACATCATCAT